GGGGGGGGGGGGGGGGGGGGGGGGTTGTTAGATTTCCCACCCTGATGCTGCCGCCAGGTTTCTTTATTGTCTTCACTTTCGTTCTCCCATTTTATGTCCTCCAATTATTGTTTATGGGCGATTCTGATCTGAACATGCGGGGGATGTGTTCTGGTTTAACACGCCGGATTAGCGATTGATCATGGATTCAAATCTGAAGAACGAACGATAGAAATCTGTGAGAATTTTATTTCGTCGAGGGTTTGCTGTTTCTCGATTACGACAAAATTTCCGTACTTGCTTTTAATTGCATTATTGGTTTCATCATTATTGTTATTATTATTATTTTGGGATGGATGATTATGTGATACTTTTCTATCGCGATGATTTCTTGTTGAAATTTTGAATCAGCTCAGGAGAATTCTGCTGCTCTTGTTCTATTTTAACTTTTTAACAGTTTTTAGATTATCTTGGAATCTTTCACTATTTTGTTTCGTTTTTAGTTCCTGAAATTTTATTTATTTACTTCTTTTTGTACTCGGTCAATTACTCTTAAAAGGAATCATGTATTGATTCAATTATTGCGCTGCTGTCCTGTATGAAATATTAAATGGAAAAACAAATGTTGTATTAAATATGAAGGATTAACAGCTGTGGTTCTTGCCAACTACCACAGTGGAAGGTGACTTGAATAACAAAGAATTGCTAGCAATTGAATCTGGTTCTAACCATGCATTGCTTGTTCCTACAGTTCTTAGACAGCCTGCTTTGTGCATCTCATTGAAAGTATAGTTTCTCATTTTATATGTATCTAAGATTTATATTCTGTATATTTTCTGTATCTATCACTTTCTTCAACTAAAAATTTCTCGCATTGCATGCTTTCTATTATAGAAATATATATTCCGAGTTTTAAAATCTATGACTGCTTGGGTACTTGGGAAAATAATAATTTCCGGTGTTCATCAGTTCTTTGCCATAATTATAGTCTTTCCTCTCTGTTTATGTCACCTTGCCAGGCATTGTATCTGAGGTTGAAGAAAGAGGAATAGCAGTTGAATTTTTTTGTTGTTAGCTTTGTGGAATGGCAGATAAATCGTGTATCAAGAGGCTTCAGAAGGAATATAGAGCTCTTTGTAAAGTATGTGCCTCTGGTTTTGTTTTTGTTTTTGTTTTGAAATTCTAGTGTTACAATGCATGGACTAACCGGATATTTGCCAATCTTGACATAATAATGTTTGACCATGTGTTTATCTTATGGCTGATTTCGCAAGTAAAAGTTTATTTTATTATTATTTTTCTTTAATGAGAAACTGAAGAATCCAACGAATGCTTTGCATTTTTCTTGTTGCAATGCTAACACATTTTTGTATTTGTCCCCCAATTGGTGCTGATTCTGCTATTTGTAAACTTTTCAGGAGCCTGTTTCCCACATTGTTGCTCGTCCTTCTCCCAGCGACATTCTTGAGTGGCGTAAGTTTTTTCCTTTTTATATTTTTTTGGTGTTAGTCGTGGAGCTTCTCGTTCTTGTGTGCATGTAGGAATTTGGATACAACTATGGATTTTTGAAGTTGGCTCCAGTCCTTTTTATTATATTGTTTTATTTATTTGTAAGCGACTTCAGTCTAGTTTTTAATTGATGCAGACTGTAAAGTGACAAGTATTATCATTTTGTGTGTGGAAAGATATAGACATAACTGCTAGATCATTGTGACGTTGAATAATTGTTAGATTGTTAGAATTCTTGGTTGAATAGAAAAATTGAGTTCTGCAATCTATTCATCACTGAGTACTGCATGTAACGTTAGTAATATGTTGGGACTGGGAGTTTGAGAAGCATTGCTTGCCTGTTCTATGCCATAGTTAAATTCTTATTTTTTTAGAAATGTATTGCATAGAAGTTTTGATTTTCTCTCTTTCTTTTCACGAAATATAAGCTTTCTGCTTATCATTTATTTACCATAGTTTGCATATTAAATGTTGTTCTGTTTCAGATTATGTTCTGGAGGGAAGTGAGGGAACTCCTTTTGCAGGTGAGTTTGTTTTACTTTGCCCCTTGTAGTACACAAGTGACACTTCTCTTCTCAATTCAATTCTTGGTTTCCTTTCGTGGATTTTTAGATGAAGATCTCTTTAATTTTGCTCTTTGATTTCCACTGGGGTATCTACTCTTTTTTCCTTCGTCTTCTAATTTTTTTAATGGAAGTTATTGAAAATCTTTGTTAGGAGGGTTCTACCATGGAAAAATTAAATTTCCTCCAGAATATCCATACAAGCCTCCGGGAATCAGGTATAAGCATCTTGTATGTGTTTAGTAATCTGGAAAATATTTGAGAAGAGATTTTTATAGAACATTTCTTAGCTTTCTTATCTACTTGTTTTTACTGTGATTCTAATACTACTACGATTCTTTCTAGCATGATCACCCCAAATGGTCGGTTCATGACACAGAAGAAAATTTGCTTATCCATGAGTGACTGTAAGTTTTGTGGATTTTAAAGATGATCACGCCTGCTTGTCTGTAGAAATGATTCTAATTGACTTGATCTGTCTGCAGTTCACCCAGAAAGTTGGAATCCTATGTGGTCCGTGTCTAGGTGAGACATGATCCTTTTCATTTTTCAACATGAGGTGTTACAGTTACTTTCTAGTACCGATGTTTTCTTCTTCCGCTAAACTTTTGCTTGAGTTAATAAATGGTTGCTTTGTGTGTGACTAACTTTTCTCACGTGCTTTTCATCCTTTGCTTTCTAACAATTGCAGCATACTAACCGGGCTTCTTTCATTCATGGTGAGTACGTTTTAGCTCTTGGCTCGTTTTGCTTTAATCGAAGATGGCTGCCTTTGTAGCTTTATCTGTTATTATTACCTATTAATTTTGAGTAATGATCTACTTTCTTATGTAGATGGACAACAGTCCTACTACTGGAAGCGTGAATACTACTGCTGCTGAGAAGGAACGCTTGGCAAAGGCTTCTCTTGCATTCAATTGTAAAAAGTAAGCTCATGTGCAGGACTTTGTGTCCTTGAACGTAGTTTCTCTTCCGCTGAGGGTTCCATCTGTCATCCACATTCCTTTATTATGTAGGCTTGGTGAAGTTAATCCCCTAGCCCATCTTAATTACTGGAAATGTGGAGGGCTCATCTCTATCTTTAAAAAAATCATGATCTCATATTGCTTGTGGCAGTAGAGTTAATTACAATGATTAAACCACTTTTGGCCGTAAAACTTGGGCGCCCTTGAGTGTGTAAATTGCAAGTTCTTTTTCTTGAATTTAGAGTTTACACTTACTTTCTTGCCATGTCATTTGCGAAACCACTTCTATTCATTTTCTTTTTTAATTGTAATACTTCAATGATTTAGTTTTATTTAACAGCCCAACATTCAGAAAACTGTTTCCTGAGTACGTGGAGAAATACAACGAGCAGCACCAATCAGAGCAGCTTGTTGCAGAACAGGCTTCATCAAGGCCATCCGAGGAAGGCAAAGCTAGGCACATAATGGAGAAGATCAAGTCCAGGGAAGAGGAGAACATTAACAAAGCAGCAGCAGATAGAGAGGACATGAAAAGAAATCGAAAGCAGTCGTTCCCTACATGGATGATGTTGTTACTCTTCTCGATCTTCGGCGTCTTAATGGCATTGCCTCTCCTTCAACCATGAAACCATAAAATGGAAGGTTGCATGCATAGGTAATGGTAGACAGTCTAGCTTGTGCAAGTCAAGGATGATGCTCTCATATTTTTGCATGTACTTAACAACATAGTGTCTGTATAGATGGTCTGGTGTCTTTGTGTGGCTGCTTTCATTTTGCCCAGAGTCTGTTATGTATGGAAGAACGGTTGCTTGAAAACTAAACCTCTTGTTTGTCTATATCATGTTTTTAAATACTATTAGCTGAGGCAGAACACTGTCAGGTCTCCACTGCAGAAATTGTTATTATTTTTATTTATTGTCATTTATTTATATACATATTTAAAATTTTACCTTTTTCACTTTTTAGATTGAAGAGAGCTCCTCGGAGTGCCCAGAGTTTCGCCGTGTTTTGCGCTCCTCTGCTTTTTCAATCCCCATGGGCCATAATCCATTTTTCTATATTACTTTTCTCTCAAGCTTTTCGGTTCGGTTCCAGAACACGTTTGAGAGTGATGTTGAAATGGTTAAATTTTAACGTCTTTTATTATTTTGAATTAGTTTAATATTTGATATCGCTTATGGTTGAAGGCATTAAAACGCTCGATCTCTCAATTATAGTGCTACGAAAACAGAGATATCGTGTAAATCATTACACTTTATATCAACTTGTGTTAATTGCAGTAATTAAGAGCAGAATAGAAATAGGGTTACCCATGTTTATGTGAATTAATATCAAATTATGTGTGTTAATACCCAGCGAAGCGACAGGCTCTGTTTACTGTAATGAAAGCATGAGATAGACGTTGAGTGCTAACAAATTTATTACTTTCCCATTTCCTTGAACATCAGTCCTTGATTTCTTAGAAGCTGTCTATTGAATGCCACTTTTGGAAACATAACAAGGCGCCATTGGATCCCAAATGGGGTTCTTCTTCAATGGCGGTAGTTGGAGTTTCCTTCCCCCTTTTCATTTAGATGCATAACAGCTTCCTGTTCTTCTATTTACCTCTTTTGAAGCTACGATTTTTGGATGTGCTTTGTTCAATGAAGAACTCTGTTTGTTCTGATTGTGAGATGGACGATCCTGTTTTTGATGATTTTGATCCTCACCTCAACTTTTCCAAGGTGATTCAGTAATGTTCTTTTGTTCAATTCTTCATCTCTTAGATTCATCTGATATCTTTATGTTAGTGTGGTTGTGAATTTTCCAGTTCTTGGAAGAAGCAAAACATCATGCCACAGAACAAGAAACAGGAGCCAAATGGTTGCCACCACAGAAAAAAAGCAAGAAATCTTGGAAAAACACACTCTTCTCCTGGTTAAAAAGTGATAAAAGGACCCAGCCTCTGCCCAAACCAGGTACAAATCCTCACATACCCAGTACAAGGCGTGTTCATGTTTCTGGTCCAATTTACACCAGAGCTACGGCCATAGACGGCAGATCTCGAGGCGGCCGTTCGACGTCTGGACCAATTGCTAGTCTCTTCAGTCCCAGTTTGAGTACAGAGATGGAGATCCCTTATATGTGTCTTCACCAGCTTACTAGCCCCAATACAAACCACAATTATGGTCCAATTTATCTTGTTACATAGACATACATTTCTCAGTTCATCTTGTCTGGAGCCAGGGGCAGCCCATCTTTGAAATCTTTTGTATGTGTAATGGTTTTGATAAGCTGTTTAATGTTATGGTTATTGCCACAAACAAGTCAAGCCCATTCCATTGCTTACTAAACAGATCAAAATGGATTCAAAGGGTTGAAAGTTTCTGTAAATAACCTTGTTCTAACAAAATGAAAGCGGTTGGTTGAAGAACATTCATTACAGAGATGCTCTCAACAACAACGCTTTCCCTCTCATTACTAGAATGCAAAGAAATTTGTACAAGTTTTGAAAACTTAACTTGTTTGTAGCAAATCTATATCAGGCCAATTGTTCCATTTCAACATTAGCTGAATTTGGATCACAAGGATTCACTCTTCTTTGCCTACTCAAAAGCCTTTTCAATGACCTTAATCTGGTCACAACAGGTAGCTTTCCATCTTCATTAGGTGTTAATGGCGGAAATTGAAGATCATTTTGAACATCAATTACCAATTCTGCAGCTGGGTTACTCGATGATGCTGATGAACAAGCCGCCGGAAAAGGGTTTTGAGAAGAACCCTCTTTCACTTCCAGACAAGCTCCGGCAGAGGTGACCTGCTCTTGATTTCCCCAAATCAGTACATTTGTTGGGAAAGTTGGAGATTCTGAGGACAACCCACTTGCAGAATCCTCATCCTGTAACTCGCCGGAGTCTGCGGCGGCGGTGACGGGGTTCCGACAAAGAGGGCAAGTGGAATGAGATTCAAACCACATATCTATGCAATCACTATGGAAGCCATGAAAGCAATCATGAAGCAGCTTGGCTTTCTCACCTTCAACAAGGTCAGAGAGGCAAACGGCACATTCGAGGCCATCTTTGAAGTCATCAGGGTGGAATATCAGAACAGGAAGTGACCGAAGGATTTTGGGGTCCAACCCTCTTCCGGAATTGGGATCTTGTATGGCGGAGAATTCAAATCGGCGACGACGACGACGGCGAGTTTCCACCGGAAGAGGGGAAGGATCCTCAATTCGAGACCATAACCATCTGGCATAGAGTTGGAGAAGAAGAACAAATACAAGCACCAACAAGAACACTAAAATGGCCGTCACAATCACCATTCCAGGTAGCTCGATAGTGACCGAGTCGCCGGAATGTTGACTCAGCTTGTAATCGTCTTCCATGGCTGCCGACGAGATTGCAGAGACTGGAATTTGGGGGCAAGGAAGAAGAAGAAGAAGAAGAAGAGGAAAGCGAATATGGGTTTAAAATTTGGAATTGATTGCATAACGAAGCGAATGGATTGACTCGAGTAACAAAACAACTTCAAAACTAACTTTTTTTTCGGTGAAGTAATACTCATGACTTGTGAGGCCTAAAGTTTGTGGTGCAGCAATCATGCGGCGCTTTTTTTTCACACGTAAAAAGTGGAGTTTCTTGAAAATATTTTTTTAGTCAAGGGGATAAAAAGCACTTCATCCGATACTTCTACGTGAATAACTAAGATCATATAAAGTTCTTATAAGTGAATTAATTTAAATTCTTCGAGTGCAGTCTAAGGTAGATCTTAGTCAACAGAAGGTCTTTACACTCGTACAAAATCTCTCTTGGTGTTAGAATCGCACTGTTGCAGTAGGATTGTGCGGTATTTGTTTTAACTTGGCGAACAAGTGGGCCTTGTGAAAATCGAACTTTATGGACAATTTTGAAGTATGATCGAGTATCGAGTCCCATTTGATAGAAAATGTTTCATAAAATGTGAGCGAGAAAATACATGGAAAATAGTTTGAAAGAAAACAATGTTAATAGGCTAAAAATGAATAAGCAACAACCATAGCTTTGATAGCATATAACTTGGGTACTAAGAATTGACACCTAGTTACATCTCCTCTGATGTATTTTAGAGCATTTTAGCTTTTGTAGGTGTAGACATGATTTTGGTGAACGGTCATACATTCTGACATAACATGAACAGTGAGAATTTAACGACACATGAAAGCAAGTAAAATGAGTTTGGAATAGGCATACGATCATGGACAACATGTCTTGGACAAGTATGACTGTGACACTCAGCTATCTACACTCCAAATCTTAAGTTAAGACTATATATAAAGTGGCATGGTCGAGGCTAGAAAATAGAAAATTTTGTACCTTTGTCAAAGGGTTTTTTAATATAGGAGTATGCGTCAGATTCATTATGCCATACATATCGACTTCTTTGAAGTCGGATTCAAAGTCAAGGCGACCTTAGTATGTTTAGACAAGGCCTAAGACTACGACATGACAAACTGTGACATCTTCCATTTTTCTGATAAATTATAAATCACTCACCATAATTTGAATTGTTGCTTTATTTAAAATCATTCAAAATTTGAATTATAGATCGTGTTTAGACTAAGAGAGATAATTTAGGGATTTATTTAATTCATTAATTAAATGTTAATACAAATGGGGGAGAGAGAGAGAGAATGATTAATTTTGGTTTGAACTTTGGGCCACAAAAATTAAGGATTTCAAATTTGAATCTATAATTAAAGGCTAAACCTAGTTTGTAAATTAATTTCAATATTATTATATATTTTTTACAAATCATTAAAAGCTTATAAATTTAAATTAATCAAATATAATATATGATTTTAATTGCTTGAATTATAAATCTTGGACAGATATTTTGTCACACCAAAGTTTGAAAGTTGCGGATCACCCACTACTTTTGTCCTATTTTCCATTCTACTTTCACACTTAATTTATCTCTCTCTATTGCTAAATGACCATTCTAACCCTCGAACATTATCCCTCTTTTAGTTTATTTTAAATGATATATTTTTTTTATCTACCAAACTAATCGAATATATATTATATATTTTAAATAAATTTTTTTAGGTTAAGACTACGTTGTAATATTTAAATTTGAATTTTTAGAAATTATATTATATTTTTACTTATAAAATATTAATCAAAATTATATTTAAAAAATGAAATTGTTAATTTTTTATTTTTTTAATATGTAAAAGAGAGAGAAAAATCAACGCTGAGACTGAAAAGACGTAATGTTTGAATGAATCCATTTATAATGATCCAATGCTGACTAAGAATTCTTGGCACAAAAAATCGACTAACTTATTGGCGCTTATTCGAGTAAATATTGATATTAAAGTGACTTATAAAATCATATTGTTTTTGCCATTTTTCAAGTAACACTAATGTTGATATTTGTGTAAATTTTATTTTTGAGAAGTTCCCTGGGCTCCCATTGGTCCAAAACATGGGTTGCACTTGTGGGCTTCCGTTCGGAAGAATGGGCTGCTTTAGTGGGCTTAATGGGCTTCAGTCTAGAAGATTGGGCTACTTTAATGGGCTTTGTGGGCTTCAGTCTAGCAGAATGGGCTGCTTTAGTGGGCTTTATGGGCTTCAATTGGACCGGGGGGGGGGGGG